GTTTGAAGATTTCGGCGTGCGCGCGCGAAGAAAAAACGAATGTGTCCCATATGGTATTATTTGACAGGGATGATGGCCCTGGCATGCGCGCAACCGTTGTTGCAGAAGTTCGAAGCACGTGAAAAAGTTGCTCGCAAGAGCCCGTTTGACAGAAATGTTGCAAAAGTACTGGGTTTCCTAAGAAATCTGCAAGAGCGCGCGGGAAGATTTTTTTGAAACTTTTTTTTGAAAAACCATTGGGTTTTCATGTTTTTATGTTAAAATCGCTACGAAAACTGAAGTTTTGGAAGGATTTCATCTTGCGCGCGCGAGTGTGCACGGCGTGTCATCTTTTGCAAAGGATTCTTGAAGTTTGGTTATGTTAGAACAAGACATGTCATTTTATAAAATGTTTTTTGGCAGGGAAAGCGGGCGTCAACAAAACAACCGGATCCGGACTACCCCGTTTTGCCTGAGACTTCCTCACGAAAATAATGAAAATGTGGCTGCGGCCTAGGCGCGGCGAGGGGGGCGTGCACCAGGGGGCCCAACAATAATTATTCTTTAGAAGTAATAATATTCAACAACAACAACAATTACTAGCACGTGGGGACACTCCGTTCTCACCAGCGCCAGGGTTTTCATAGGAGGCGGGCAATACCCCCACTTTGTGGGGGGGCCGGTTCAAGCTCTACCAAATCCCACCAGCCCTCTGGGCGTAGGTGGTCTAGAGCAGATCCTCTTCCACCCCTCCCTCTTCCCCCTTGGGGAGGGGTTTACCCCTCCCCCTACCCCCTCCCCTGGACCTGGACGGGGGGGGCCGCGGGTAGTTAGAGCGTCCAAGATGGCCCAAGACGGCTCCAAGAGCGCCTCAGAGAACCCAAGATGAGCTCCAAGATGGCTCAAGATAGCGCAAGATCGCTCACGATGGCTCCTAAGATGGTTCCAAGAAGCCCAAAGACGGCCCCAAGATAACTCCAAGTGGCCAAACAGCTCCCCAAGGAGGCCCCGAAGAGGCCAAAATCGTCCCAAAACCTAAGGAAAATCAATGATTTTTGCTTTCTCGCCTTTTCGCTTCCGATGGCCATCCGAGGCCTGGAGATGGCTCCAAGATGGCCCAAGAGGGCCCCAAGAGAGCCCCAAAAGAGCCCCAAGACGGCCCCAAGAGCGCCCAAGAGCACTCCAAGAGCGTTCCAAGAGGGGTCCAAGAGGCGATTTTAGGGGCTTCCGAGGGGGGGCGCTAATTAAACCCCCCCTCTTGTTTGATCGACTCCCTCCAAGATGGCCCCAAAAGCGCCCCGAAGGCTCCCCAGAGCGCCTCAAGAGGGTCCCAAGAGGCGCCCAAGATGCCCCAAGGCGCCCAAAAAGCCCTCCAAGAGGCCCTCAAAAGACCCCCAAGAAGCTCCTTCCCCTCCTCCTCCTCCTCCTCCGATTCTTCCTCCTTCTCCGTCCTCCTCCTCCTCCTCCTCCTCCTCCTCTTCCCCCTCCTCCTCCTCCTCCTCCTCCTCCGACGACGACGACGACGACGACTCCTCTTCCATCCTCCCCCTCTCGGGGTCTGTGACAGCTTCCCCCGCCCTTTGTTATTCTGCATGCTCCCCGACTTCCCTGATCACCTCAACTCCCCTGAGCATCGTTTCTGGATGGGCTGGTGGGGATACGCGAAGCGTCAACAATTTCCAAACGACTCTTCGCCACCACCCACACCCAGCTTCCCGCCCTATGACGTTCGGACACTTCACTTCGTGGCATGCGGACGACCGTGGCTACTATTCAGGGCCCCGCGGCCGACGACGACGGCGTGCGCGCGCGAAGAAAAAACGAATGTGTCCCGCATGGTATTATTTGACAGGGATGATGGCCCTGGCAGGTGCGCAACCGTTGTTGCAGAAGTTCGAAAAAGTTGCTCGCAAAAGCCCGTTTGACAGAAATGTTTAAAAAGTGTTGGGTTTCCTACGAATCCGCAAGAGCGCGCGGGATGAAATTTTGACATTTTTTTTTGAAAAACCATTGTTTTTTTGATGTTTTTATGTTAAAATCGCTACGAAAACTAAGGTTTTGGAAGGATTTCGTCTTGCGCGCGCGAATGTCCACTTTACCTTATTTTTTGCAAGGGATTCTTGAAGTTTGGTTATGTTAGAACAAGAAATGTCCACTTTAGCTTATTTTTTGCAAGGGAAAACCGATCGTAACAACACAACCGGATCCGGACCAACCCGTTTTGCCTGAGACTTCCTCACGAAAATGATGAAAATGAGGCTGCGGCCTAGGCGCGGCGGGGGGGTCGCGCACCAGGGGCCCCAACAATAATTATTCTTTAGAAGTAATAATATTCAACAACAACAACAAACAACAACAACAACAACAACAACGACAACAACAACAACAACAACAACAACAACAACAACAACAACAACAACAACAACAATCACTTTACCCGAACGCTCAGTGTTCTCACCAGTGCCAGGGTTTTCATGCGACGCCAGCCAATACCCCCACTTTGTGGGGGGGCAGTGCAAGCTCTACCAAATATCCACACGACTCTTCGCCACCACCCACACCCAGCTTCCCGCCCTATGACGTTCGGACACTTCACTTCGTGGCCTGCGGACGACCGTGGCTACTACACTGGCGTGGAGTACACACCCACAGAAGTTGTTAAGCCTACGTTCGTACACCCACAGAAGTTGTTAAGCCTTGTTAACCCACAGAAGTTGTTAAGCCTTCCACAGAACATCTGTTGCATATGATGCATATGGTACATGATACACATGATACACATGATACGTACTCACAAGATAGTTTATCACATCTTTAGGGCAAATTCCGGAGGGATGGTTTTTGGTTTTTGGAGATTTCGGCGTGCGCGCGCAAAAAACGAATGTGTCCCGCATGGTATTATTTGACAGGGATGATGGCCCTGGCAGGTGCGCAACCGTTGTCGCAGAAGTTCGAAAAAGTTGCTCGCAAAAGCCCGTTTGACAGAAATGTTTAAAAAGTGTTGGTTTTCCTACGAATCCGCAAGAGCGCGCGGGATGAGATTTTGACATTTTTTTGTTGAGAAACCATTGGTTTTTTGATGTTTTTATGTTAAAATCGCTCCGAACACTAAGCTTTTGGAAGGATTTCGTCTTGCGCGCGCGAATGTCCACTTTACCTTATTTTTTGCAAGGGATTCTTGAAATTTGATTATATTAGAACAAGAAATGTCATTTTATAGTGTTTTTTGCAAGGGAAAACGGATTACAACAAAACAACCGGATCTGGACCCCATCCACTTTTCTGAAGCTTTCGCGAAAAAATGATGAAAATGTAGCTGCGGCCTAGGCGCGGCGGGGGGGCCGTGCACCAGGGGTCCCAACAATAATTATTCTTTAGAATTAATAATGTTCAACAACAACAACAACAACGGCTCTCGCCTGAGACTCCCTCGACCCACGGTCCCGCCAGAGACTTCCTCACAGTTTATTCAGGAATCGGGCGCTCGCTGGGAAATTCCTTACAATTTATACAGGAATCGCTCTCTCGGCGCTCTGGAGTCGCGCTCTCGTTGGAGACTTGCTTGCAATGTATTGAGGAATCGCGCTCTTGGCTTGGAACTCCCCGCAATTTACTCAAGCGCCGCGCTCCCGACACTCAGGCACTCAGGAGTCGCGCTCACGCCTAGGCCTAGGACAGCCTCAAAGCCTACTTCAGAATCGGGATCTCGCGGCCCTTCGCGGCCCCGTCGCAGCCCTTCGTGGCCCCGTCGCTGCCCTTCGTGGCCTCGTTGCAGCCCTTCGTGGCCCCCTCGCTGCCCTTCGTGGCCCCGTTGCAGCCCATCGTGGCCCCATCGCTGCTCTTCGTGGCCCCGTTGCAGCCCTTCGTGGTCCCCTCGCTGCCCTCCGTGGCCCCGTTGCAGCCCTTCGTTGCCCCCTCGCTGCCCTTCGTGGTCCCCTCGCTGCCCTCCGTGGCCCCGTTGCAGCCCTTCGTGGCCCCCTCGCTGCCCTTCGTGGCTCCGTTGCAGCCATGCCGTGGCCCCCTCGTTGCCCTTCGTGACTCCGTTGCTCACCTCCGTGGCCCCCTCGCTGCCCTTCGTGGCCCCGTTGCAGATTGCGCTATCGCTCGAGACTGCCTCGCGATTCATGCAGGACGCACGCTTCAGCAACCCGCTTGCTCGACCTGGCTGCCTGGGCCCGCCTTCCCCGCCTGCCCGTTAAAGCTTTTCCGCCCGATCTGCCCGTCTGGTTCCGTCACTTGCTTTCTGCTCGTAACCCCCCTTCTGCTACTCTCTTTGCTGTTTTCTCTCTCTCTCTCTCTATCTATCGTGCTCCATCCTCCTCCTTTCCCCTTGCCCCTCCCTTCCGTCTTCTTTTACCCTGTCTCAGGGGCTGCACGAAATACACGTTGCAGGTAAGGAATATATACCCCCAAGGGGGTCGATCGAAGACGAAGAGGGCGGGTATCGAGGGTTTGGGATAATTATACGTCTTGGGTGACAAGCGAGCCGATAAGAACGATCAATATGAACATGACTGTTGTTGTTTGCGGTGCAGTTGTTATGTTTGTTGTTCCTGTTGATGCTGATGTTGTTGTCGTCGTCCCATTCGCGACCCCACCCGCGACTCACCCGCGACCCACCCGCGACCCACCCGCGACCCGCACGCGACCCACCCGCGAGCCACCTGCGACCCGCCCGCCCCCCTGGCCCGCGACCTACCCGCGACCCATCCGCGACCCACCCGCGACCCGACCGCGACCCCACCCGCGACCCACCCCGCGACACACCCCGCGACCCACCCGCGAACCACTCGCGACCCACCCCGCGCCCGTCTCCTCACTCTTATCCGCAACTGCGGGGTGTTACAAGAGACATTCCTACTGTCGCGCCGCCCCAGCCCCGACAGCGAAGCGCAGAGCGCAATCATGTTCGCGCCCCGCGGGGGGAGTTGGGGACTCTCGGGGGCGGGGGATGGCACAGAGGAGAAGGGTCGGAGGACGGGAAGGGGGGGGCAGCGGGGAATGAAAGCATGATCGCCCCCTTTTCTTCGGGTGAAGCGCTCGCCGCTGGCTCCAGCGCCCGGCTACACGCCGCGCGGGGTCCACAGCGGGACCTGTCCTGGCCGTGGCGTGTACAGCGGTGCCTCCCGCCGCAGCAGCACGGCCCGCTCAAGCACCCAGCCTAAGTTCGCGGCAGCCGCCAGCCTGCCGAGGGCCTTCCTCCCGGAGGGCGACGGGTGGTCGGCACCGGGTGGGCCTCCGGGCGGCGCGCCGACCTCCGCCTCGAAAAGCACCTCCGCGTCGAACTCGGGGAAGAGTTCCCGGAGCTCCTGCAGGGGCAGGCTGTGGGGCCCGAGCGCGGTGAGCTCCGGCGCGCAGGAGGACTCGTCGAACTCAGGCGCGATGACAATCAGCCTGGCCGTCGGGCGCAGCATGGCCGACAGCACCGTGGCGTAGACCGCGCGCCGCTTCGGTTCCACGACCGCCAGGGCGCCGTGGTCGAAGGCGGCCTCGAACTTTCCCCCGAGCAACTCTGGGGTGGCTTCAAACCAGTCGCCCTCGAATATGGTGCACGGCCCCGCGTACCACGTTGTGAAGGAGACGTCCTCACCGCCACCGTCGCCCATGGACAGCTCGTAGCCGTGGTCGGAGGCGAACCCGGCGATGGCGCGGCGGGAACACTCGACGCCCACCGCCTGCATCCCATTCTCCGCGAGCCGGGCAAGGTCTGGCCCGCGCCCGCACAAGGGCACCAGCACGGAGGTGGCCCTGCCGTCTGGCGACAGTGCGTTCGGGTGCGACTCCAGAGCTGGATGCGCTTCGGCCTGTCCGGCGGCTTCGTCCTGCCAGGACTGGTGAGGGGGCAGTCGTGTGGGGCTGGGGGCGCTGAGTCATGCTCAAGTGCAGGTACAGAAGAGGGGCAACACATCGTCAAATATACGTGTCAACCCGCAGATGCGGGTAAGAGTGAGAGGGCGGTTGGGACGTCGGCAGTGTGCGAGCCTGTGGGTAGGTCGCGGGTGGGTCGCAAATGGGTCGCGGGTGGGTCGTCGCTGGTGGGTCGCTGTTGGGTCGCGGGTGTAGAGTGCAGAAAATCCAGCCCATCATAATCACCCCGACAAGCGAAGCCGTTTAGTAAACGTACACAAGGAATCAATCGAACATGGCAGGGCTGTTTAGTAAACGCCCAAGAACGTTTAGTAAACGTCAATTGTCGGGTCCGGGTGGTTTCGCCTCCCTTGAGGGTGGGTCGCGGGGTGGATCGCGGGTGGGTCGCGGGTGGGTCGCGGGTGGGTCGCGGGGTGGGTCGCGGGTGGGTCGCGGGTGGGTCGCGGGGTGGGTCGCGGGGTGTGTCGCGGGGTGTGTCGCGGGGTGGGTCGCGGGGTGGGTCGCGGGTGGGTCGCGGGGTGGGTCGCGGGGTGTGTCGCGGGGTGTGTCGCGGGGTGTGTCGCGGGGTGGGTCGCGGGTGGATTGCGGGTGGGACGACGACAACGATCAACGAACAACAACAACAACAACAACAACAACAACAACAACAACAACAACAACCACAACCACAACCACAACCACAACCACAACCACAACCACAACAAGAACAACAACAACAACAACAACAACAACAACAACAACAAGAACAACCACAACAACAACACCAACAGCAACAACAACACCAACAACAACAGCAACAACAACACCAACAACACCAACACCAACACCACCACCACCAACAACAACAACAACGCAACAAGCAGAATTCTCACCACAAATTCCCTATTGAGCCACGGGCCCAGGGACAACGAATGACCGTTCGGCCCCCTCACTCTGATGTAGCGCCCCGCAGTCGCGGATAAGAGTGAGGGGGCGGCGGGGTCGTCGGCAGTCTGCGAGGCTCTGAAGAAGCCCGCCGAAGGCGCCTGCTTTTTACAAATTATACAACGAACCCGCCGCACAGGCGCCGATTTTTCGTTAAAGCAATGTGTGTGGGTCGCAGGGTGGGTCGCGGGCTTGGTCGTGGGTGGGTCGCGGGCTGCGTCGCGGCTGGGTCGCGGGTGGGTCGCGGGCAGTTCGCTGGGTGGGTCGCGAGTGGGTCGCGGGTGGGCCGCGGGGTGGGTCGCGGGTGGGTCGCGGGTGGGTCGCGGGCGGGTCGCGGGCGGGGTAGCCAGTGGGTCGCGGGCTGGGTCGCGGAGGGGACGACGCCAAACGACAACAACAACAACAGCAGCAGCAACAACAACAACAAGAACACCACCAGCAGCAGCAATAGCAACAAACAACACACTACATACAACAAACAACACACAACAAACAACCACAACAACAATAATCCGCATCGCGGGATCCCACTTCAGCCAAGCAACCATGGACACTGAATGACTGTTCGGCCACCTCACTCTGATGAAGAAACGTAGGTGAAAGCAATCCCACCAGCACTATGGGCGTGAGTGGTTGAGGACACTTCCTCTTACATTTCCTTTTCTCCCCTTCGATGAAGGGTTTATCACCCACCCTCCCCCGCCCGACCCGCGACAAACCCGGGACACCGCGCCCCCCAGCCATCCCTGTCATCAGAACAATGCAAAAAGCACTCTGCGGCAGAGTCGGTAATTATGGTTGGGGGCTCCGCGAGCACTTTGTACCGTTTTTTGACCGGGACGGCGTTGGTGCCAACAAATGAAAAGCCTGCTGTGCGCAGGGCCACCTTATCTGTCAACAAACCTTCAAGCTGCACTTTGCGGCTAAATCTGGATCATGCACGGGCACCCCGCGATCACTTTGCACATGTTTTTGACAGAGACGGCGGGGGTGCTGGCATATTGCCTGCTGTGTGCAAGCCCGCCAGACATCATAGTGGTCACTCCGCCGCGATTGCGCGTTGCTTGTGTGTATCTCGATACGCAAACAAGCGCGCACGCAAACAAGTGAACAAACACTCGCACAAGCGAACCTTCGCGAAATACACAAACCGCATGCACAACCCATAGTAAACGTGGACGCGCAATCAGCCCTGCCCTACGTGACACGCGGCCCTTCGAGGCGTGCCGGCGTGATGCTTCCCAAATTCCCTCACCGGCTTGGGCGGGAGGGAGCACGCAATCCTGAATGGTGCGACCGGTGTAACGATGGTGGCGGTTGCGACGGACGAAGAGACCATAGTGGCGACAAGAACAGCGAAAGAGAGACGATGAGTAGAAGTCTGGACCACTCGTAGTCCACGTGCTACGGTCCACCGACTTGGCAGGCAGAGATTCTGCCACTACCATACACTCTAAAACTCTACCATTATACAATTCTACCACTACGCGGCTCTACCATTTTACTACTATGCGGCCGTGCGTTCTGCCATGATGCGTCCATGCAGCCACGCGTCTCTATTGTGATGCAGTGCTGCTGATCTACAGCACTACGGCTCTGCCACTTTCCAGCACTACTTCAGTACAATGGGGCCATGTTGAAGCTGTACTGCAATGCTGCCCATGCTGCTGCTACTACTCCTCGCTTGCTGTGAGCTATGACACATCTACTCTACAATATTCGTGCTGTACTACGCTGCTCCCATACTACTTTACGCCTTAAGCATTGCTCCACTACTCGTTACTCTCACGAACCTACCTCTTTATAGCACTACGAATGTCCACCTTTTCAACTGCTCGAAGGCTCGACTACTCTATTCTGCCAATATGCTGGGTCAAATGGTTGCTTCTTTATCACGCGGAAGAGTGCGCAACCGGCATCCGGGAATGAGCAACAAGTCTCGCGGGGGGGTGGGTTGGGACAGCGGATCTGATGGTAGCAGAAACAACCGTTGGCTGCTGGGACATCGCACGCGCCATGCTGAGCACCACATCCATGTCATATTCGAACCCAGTCCATCTCGAATAATGTTAGGCCTGGCCCCAAAAGGTAACGACAAGGAACACTTGTCTGAAGCCACACGCCTCCAAGTTCTCAGATCCCTTCTGCGGAGGGGGGGAGGGGGTGTAGGACTACATCCCCATGTATAACGTTCGTTTTCTGCGGCCTCGATGAAGTAAGCTGCGAGCGCATTGCGGTGTCCAGCGGAACTGCAGAACGACGACCTGCGAAGTACCAGGACTGAAAAAAACAAGGCGGGAGGCCAACCATACAACACGACTCACTGATATAACCTTTACAAATCCTTGTGTTGATTGGAGAAAGCCAACGTGCCAAAGAAAAAGAGAGAGAGAAAGGGAGAGACAGAGACACTCGTCACGTGCGATGAGACGCAGACGGCGCCAACTCCATCATCCGAGACAAGGGCCCGCCGAGACAGGGGCCGCCGAGAACCCGCGTTGCGAGCGCGGCCTGGGCGCGGTGCTCGCCCCTTAAGCTGCAGAGCGGCAGCAACCAACGCAGAGCGGGCGATCATGTTCCCAGAGGCCGCCCTGGGAACATGATGAGGAAACACGGGAAAAACAAATGAAGTGAAGGGGCCTGTACGTGAGGATCTGCTGCGGAAGCGCCACGCCAGCAAAGTGCTGATAATCGGATGCGACGTTTTCCCTTTTCCCTTCTCCTCCACTTCCACCTCCTCCTCCTCCTGCTCCTTTTTCTCTTCCTCCTCCTCCTCCTCCTCCTCCTCCTTACCCCCTGTCGTGCGGGTTGGCGCTGCAGCACACGTGCGCAAGTCAGCGTGCACCGCAGAATGTTCTATTGAATCGGCCCACTTGGTTCTCGGACGGCCACTTTAGCTGGAGCCTTGTGGACACAGATGGAGGAGTTACGGTGGTGCGGGCGAACTCGGAAGGACTCGTAGATTCCCTTGGTGTTCCCTTGTCCATAAGGATTATTTTCTGTTATTGTCGGTGGAATCCACAAGCGCTCCATTTTGCCATAATGATTCCTTCAAGCATTCTACGTGCAACAGTGGTGCACACGGTTGGTGTGGTGCACACATGCGCCGTGGTGTACACAGGCACTGCAATGCACGCAGGCGTTGTGGTATACACTGCTGTGTTGCACACGGCGGATGTGGTGTACGCAGGCGCTGTGGTGTACACAGGAACTGTTGTGCCCGCGCGGGCTGTGGTGTACGCAGGCACTGAGGTGTACACAAGCGTTGTGGTGCAGATCGCCACCTACGTGGTGGTGCCACCCGTCCTCCGTCATTCCTAAGCATTCCCAGGCGCCGCCGGCGCGAAGCGTGACGTCATCGACCCCCTCCCCCTCCCAGATGATTGCCGTCATCGGCCCGGAATAAAAAAAAACAGGCTCCAGCCGCGTCCGCGCGCACGACGACGATGAGCGACGAGCGACGAGCGACGAGCGACGAGCCACGACGACGACGACGTCGACGACTGCGGACCAGACTCCTATGCGGATTCCTACGCGGACACCTACGCGGATCCCAATACGCACGGCGGCAGTGCCTGGAGCGCACTGGGGGGGGGGAGCGTTACGTCATAGGGGGGGGAGGGCGGAGGCCATGACGCCCGTCATGCCCCAAGCAATAAAGAAATGGGCTCTTGAAAAGCAAATTGTTAGATTTCAATGTTCTTCCAGTTCCTCGGCGCTGTTCGGCGCTGTTTTTTGTTTGTGCCTCGCGGGTTTTCTTAGCCAGACCTCTCAGGGGTGTGGGATCTTCCGGACCCCGTGGGGGTTCTGGAGGCCTGCCGGAGGCCTGGAGAGCCGTCGGAAGGGTGTCTCGGGCTGCGCGGGAGCGTGTTGGGCCGTTCTTTACGCTCTGGGGGTTCCCTGGGGTCGTCTTGGGCTGTCCTTGGGCGTCTTGGGGCCCCCCCGGGAAGCCGAGAGGCGCGGTACCGGCCAGATGTCAGGGAATGTGTAAGACCCCCGAATCGGATATATATATATATATATATATATA